TGCCGGCGTATGCACGCGCGGAAGTTCACCACACACACCACTTCAAGTACCCAAGGTTGAGAAACACTGCTCTGATTACAAGCAGCTGGTTGGGATTTTGTCTGAGCATTCACAAGGAGAGTGGGGGACTCAGAAGTATCTGTAGGGTTACCATTTCCCAGGCTGGCTGGGGAATTCTGGGAGTTGAAGTCCACACGTCTTCAAGTTACCAAGGTTGAGAAACACTGCTCTGATTACAAGCAGCTGGTTGGGATTTTGTCTGAGCATTCACAAGGAGAGTGGGGGACTCAGAAGTATCTGTAGGGTTACCATTTCCCAGGCTGGCTGTGGAATTCTGGGAGTTGAAGTCCACACGTCTTCAAGCTGCCAAGGTTGAGAAACACTGAATTACTGTTTGGGGCTTCATCTTCTGATGTCTCTCTTCCAAATAGGTTTCCCAGATGTGAAGGAAAACATGAAAGAGGAGGAGACAGCCAACTCCGTCAGATATGATGTTTCACACATGACCTCTACGGTTGACCCATCAGGTGAAGGAGTTAGTCCATGAAATTGGCATGTCAAATAGCTTTTTGAGAATCGGTTGCAGGATTCTTCACAATTTCCCAGGATTCCTGCAGAGTGCCCTGTTTCTTCCCCCCCAGTACTTCAAAGAACCATAGGGGTATGCAACATGTTTAAAAAAATCAGGTGAAGGTTCAGTTGCACCATTGTAGCCACCATCGTGACTTTTTTGACCACACCCTGCAGACACCGCTGGGAATCATTGCTGGAAAAATAACAAAGAGTGGCTCCTTGAAAACAGACTCATTATGGACTGCAAACTTATATAGCTGGAGCTCAGTTTATTATGTACTTGATGTTTCCTCTATGGTATCATTTATTTACCTGATTTTTTTAAAGCTTAATTGTTGGTGCTGGGAAACCAAGAAAAAGCAAGATTGTCCATCCTGTTGCTGTGCGGGACTCATGAACTTAGCATCCAGTTCCATTTTATTCCTTGTTATGAAATCCCATATCCTAAGGAAACACAATGTGGCTTTTAATTACGTGTATGGAAGAGTGCAACAATAATTAATCCTATAAATGTTTGCTTGGGAGTAAATCCTATTGTGGTCCATGGGTTTACTTGAGAGCAGACTTGTAGGATTATGTTGTTTAAAGAGTCTAGTAAAGAAACTGTATAAAATGGGAAAGTTAAAAAAAGTAGCAATGGAAGACAAGATCTTTAAAAGATCCTGATAATTTAAAAAAAAAACCTCCCTTTTTAACAACTTTTTTTTTAATGCCCTCTTAAAAGAACTCAAGGGAGTGAGGGTTCCCGCTTAGAAAAATGCAGGTGTTACAGTAAATTTCAGTGGAAATAACTGATTAGATTGGAGCATGGGAGGGAACGCATAAGAACAGAAGAGGCTTTCTGAATAAAATCACAACCCTAAAACATGGGATGTCCATCATTCCAAACTCTAGTATCCAGAAAGATGCAGGCTATGTATTTGTTTTCCTCTCTCTCTCCTTCTGAAGAAGTTAATACAATTTTGTTGGTAATCCTGCTCCCTCTATTATGGGGTTGAATTGTAAACTATACGCTCAGACTAGAAGTTGGAAGTAGGAAGTCCTTCCTTTCATGTCAATCAGGGTTTTCTGATTTAACAGTAGGTTTGCTGATTTAACAGTAAATTTGTCTGATTTAACAGTAAAGGTGGAAGAAGATGATCCAAGGGTCCCCCCCAACCACCAGGACTCAGAGGAGAGGGCAATTGTTGGAAGTTTGTGCTCAGGTGAGAAATGACCTTGTCTGCGTTGCAGTGCTCAGACAGGGATTTTGTCCACATCAGTGGCACATGTCTTTAAAGACACCATTCATGGGTTATTTCTTCACAACACCCAGGATGTTAACATCCTTGGCTGCAGGTATTAGGCAACCCTGATATTTGATATGGGAAGAAAACGGAGTGGCAGAAATGAATCCTGTATGGAAAAGTTCCCATGAATAAGTCAAAAGCTTAGCTGCTGAAAAATGCATGGATGTAGTCCTAGAGTTTTCTGAGCTATAATATGGAAGGGTTTGCAAACTATGGTTTCCCAAATATGTGCTCTCCATGTATGTGTGAGACTGAGAGCTCTTCTGACGTCTCTGTCTCAGCAGCATTTCCTGTGGTGGCAGTCAAGATGGAAGGAGAAGGAGAAGAAGAACCTCAGAGGTCTGATCGCCAGGGTTATGAGATAGGTGAGTCCCTATAGGAAAGAGATGAATTCAAGTTTGTCTCAAAAGCCAGCCTTTCTTTATGGAGTGACCCAGTGCATGGAAGACGGTGATCAGAGGTCTGCCAATCTCTCTGCCTTCTGTGATGCTCCTCAAGCTGCAGTTTGAGGTGGCATGATGTGGCTACACCGTCAGTATCCCATTACTCCCACCAGATAATTCAGCGTCTCCTCCTGTAGTTCAAACACCGCATCTGAATTCTTTGGATTATCAAAAGCAGCCCAGGATCTCCTTATGACGAGAGCCCAAATCCATGGACAGGACGTATGGGCTTATAACTCTCATCATACCAGATGAAATGGCCTAACAGATCTAAAATAGCTTCCTGCATTTCTGTTCCAAGAACCAGGTTCAAAAGATCTGGGGCAGTGGGTCTGAAGGAAGTTCCAACTCTCTCCGCTTGAGTCCCAGGGAGGAACTAGTTTAAGTCAGAACCAGTTTTATTCACTGTGAGGGATCATTACTTTGAGTCACTGTAAGACTACTTCAGAACAGCACTGTCCAAGATTGATCCCTTGATAGGGAGGTGACGATGTTCCACAGAATCAGCCCAGAGGCCAACTGGAAGTCCTAGGATGGGTGGATGACCATCTGCAACTCAAGAGGGTCTACAAAATAATTCCAACAAGCCAATGAGATTGCAGGTTTTGGGGAAGTGAGAGGTAAGGGAGGCGGGTGGATGGAAATGCAACTCAGGCATTCAGTCAGATGCTGGCTTTGGCCTTCTTGAGAACTGATCAGGTTGCACTAATCCTCAACTGAGGGCTCTCCAGATGTGTTGCTGAAACAACAGAACTCACAGGCAGCATGAATTCTGGGAATTGTAGTTCGAAATGCCTGGGGGCACCAACTTGGAGAAGGCTGAGATAACTCATAGTTACTTTTCACCTCTGGTGACTTAGTGTCACATTTCCTTGTTTCCTATCTCTGTCCTGAGGATTTCCTGGAGTGATAATAAAGGTGGAACCTGAAGAGGAGCTGTGGCTCTCGGATCCCCAGAGATCGGAAGGAAAGGCATCTGGCTCTGAGGTTCAGTCAGGTGAGGGACAGGCTGGGCTAATTCACAATCCACAAATAGTACCTTCATAGCAAACTACTAGAAGTGGGGTTAAAGGTATTGGGGGTATAACCATAAGCATACATAGAACAACATGGCAGATCAGGAACTTAGCTTCAAGCTGGGAATGGATTTGTTTGTGTGTTGGGCTCAAATGCACACAGACTCTACAAGGCTCTAGAGCAGTGTTTCTCAACCGTGGCCACTTCAAGCTGTGTGGACTTCAACTCCCAGAATTCCC